CGGGCCAAATAGACTGTCCCCCTCTGCTGGAGGGCAGTCAGGGTGCACCAGGGACCCGTTGGCATGGGTGGAATCCGGCCATCCAGAGGTGGCAGTCTACCTTGGCCCATTTGTTCAGGCCACTCTTGGAGAAGCAATCTTGAGGTTTCAATTAGGCTGTCCTTGGCCTCTTTTTGCTCCTCCAGGAAGGAAAATCTCCATTTAATTATGTAACGGAGAACTAGGGCTTCCTTTTGTCCCCTCTTACCTTCCTTCAGGAAGATCAGGATGTGACTCTAAAATGCACCCCCTCCACAGGGCTCCAAGGTCTTGAGGTCACGGTCATGGTGTTGGGGGGGCGCTCGGTCCCCAGGTGGCAGCTGAGAGCTCCTCTCCCATCACCAGCCCTGCCCCGTAAGTGCATACACCTGGGCTGCGCACCCTGCTGGGAACAAAGGCCTGACCTTACCAGCAAGGTCAGCCCATGAAACAGTGGGCCCGGGGCCTGGGGAAGCCTCGGTTCCCGAGATCCTCGGAGAACATCACAGCACCCAGGTGGGGGGTGAGGCCAGACGAGGAGCCTGCTAAAACGCTGATAAGTAATTTCAAAAGCACCTGCTCCTTACTGCTTATCTCCTCGAACAATGTGAACTCGGGAGTTATCACATTTAAAGTGTTCCATATTAGCCTTACATTTAGCTCTTAAAACCAAGTGCAGTGCGCTACAACTTTAAAGGACACAAGAGTCAAACTGGAGAATAAGTTGAAGGCAGTGGGGAGTCCATTCCTCGCTTGATCCCTCAGGAGGAGGGGTGAGGCCGGGCTAGCGCCCAGGAACCCTCCCCCCTCCCCGCCACTCTGGGCACCCAGGCAGGAAGCCACTGCCTTCACACCCCCTTTTTGTACCCCAGGTCACAGCCCAGCCACCCCAAAGTCTCAAGCAGGCCCTTGTGCTCCGGTACCTGGTGGGCGAAGGAAGACACTGGGAGGCTCTGTCCCAGGGCTCGCTGGAGGGCTTGCTGCCCCATCTGTTGACAGTGGACTCCGTTTCAATGCTGGTGTTTGCTATGACTTGTAAACAGTTGGGAGATAACTTGTCTAGACCTGAGCTCTTGGACATAGTAAGCCATCAGCCACACTGCCAGGGCCCAAAGCTAATGACTCGTGTGTGCAGAATGATAGAGTTCCAGCCCCATCGTCCCAGAAAGTTCTACTGGGCAGCACTGCTTTAGATGTTCTGGACATAGCAAGGGCTAGAAGAGGCTTCTCCTGGGCGCCGCAGAACCCCCACGGGAGAGTGGGACGATGGGACGATGGGACGCTGCCCAGGCTTCGGAGGGGCAGAAATCACCGGGCAGCGGGGCTTATGGCTTCGGGCTCCGGAATCAGCCACACGTGCCTACCAACACGCACCTGGTCGCCGGAGGCAGCACTCTGGGCCAGACTGTGGGGCCACGGGGAAGTGCCCTCCTGCCAGCCTGCGTTCTCACCCCGGGGAGCTAGAACCTTGGAAAGTGGTACCAAGCCTGGAAAGGAGCTCGGAGCCCGGCCTCCCCGGAGTGCCCGCCAGGATTAACAGAGGCGGTTCCAGAGGCGCTAAGGGCTTTGTCAGACCCAAGCTGGAGCACGCAGAACTCTTCAGAGCGGGGGAAGAGACTGGCACCCAGAGCCTGGGTCACCCGCTCCCACAGCCCTGCGCTAAGCCTCCACCAGGGCCTGGCACACGGCGCGAGGTCCAGGACGGCCGCGTAAATGGACGTGAACATCTTTGCGCCTTTGCTGAGCCCAAGTCTCCGCATCTGCCTTTACTTGACACAGCGGCCGGAGAGGAGCGCAGCTGAGCCTCATCTTGCTGAGTAGGAGCCGGAGGCCCGAGGTTAACCGGCTTCCCCAAGGTCAAACCCTAGCAGGTTTCATTTCTAGGCCAGGATTCTTTCCGCTCCACCTTCTGTTCCTATCTGGGCTTTACTGGGAACGCCACACACCCCACTCCTGGACTAAGCTGTGCCCCCAAGTCTCTGTAGGAGCCGGTAACCCGGGCCCCAAATAAACCCAGCAGCCCTTATGGTGCCGAAGGACAGGCCAGGAGGAGGGGAAGGAGGAGGAGGAGGAAGGGCCTCACCACGTGATGGGCGCCTGCCAGTCAGAGGGCCCCAGCTCATTTCCAATCCAGTCACAAACAGGAAGGTGGGGTGTGTGTGTGGGGGGGTGAGCAGGGACCCTTACGTGTTACTGTCACCGAGCCCGTTGGGGACCTTATTCTTCTTCCACCCTATCAGCGATGAGGGATTGTTGGTGGCTGGTTGGTTGGTGCTTTTTTTAAAAGTTTTAAAATTTTCTTTCCCGAGAATTCAGTGTCTTTGACCTCGACAAATGAACGGAGAACCCTGAACCGACGGAAATAAAAGCAGCAAACTTCCCAGGAATATAAATTCTGGGGCAGCAGCACTCTAGAGGCAGACCACCCGGCGAAGGGCGCAGGAGGAGCCCGAGGCTGGTGAGGGGCACCCTCTCCGTGCTTCCGCCGCCCCCCTGTCCAGAGCAGGGGCGGGGCCGGGACAGCTGTGCGCAGGGGTGGGGGATACAAATCAATAGGGCGACAGGGAGCCCCCCCCCCCACCGCCTGGACTCAACAGAGAAGGAGCAATTATTTGAGGGATATTAGGAAGAAAGGGAGAGTAAAGAAAGATGGAAAGAAAATGAGGTAGATGAGCTTTAAAACAACGACTTAAGTAAGGCAAGCGCAATGTAATTAATTCCTCACACAAGGGCCCCCACTACCCAAGCACATACATACATTTAAAAGTAAAAACACTGACTGAGGTTTGTCTGCTTGAGATGAGGCTCGCTGCTTGGATTTGGGTGTAGTAAGTACGGGGACACAGGGCCGCAGAGGCAGGGCGTCTCAGAGGGGCGGCCCACAGCCCGGCCCTGACGTGGCTGCGCCGTCTACACCCGCGGCCCGCCGGCCTCCTGACCTTTGGCTCGTCTGCAAAGTTTGCTGAGACGGGTGGCCTGCGTCATTCGTGAGTCTGGCCCAGGGAGACTTGGATCTTGGCATCACCACATTCCATGGACACAGTGACTGCTATGTCCCTGGGGAGCGGTTCCAAGGGTGATGACGAATGTCACGTTTGGATTCATTCAGTGCCTCGAACTCAGCTCCCTCCGGGTGAAACGGAGAAGTGAAGAGGCGGTGATCTTGGGAGAGCTCTTAGCAAGTACAGGGGACCCAGGAAAACCAACCTCTGAGAGGAAACGATGCTTCTTAACTGGGTATGCGGAGTGTGGTGCCGGTCGGCTTCCAGCGGACTTTCCGGTGTTCTGCTGGTTCTCAGGATTTCCGAATGATGCCCCTGGGCGGCGACCCCTGGAGGCCCTGGCTACCCAGCAAGGGCCATACAAGCAGCGAGGAGGAGTGCACAGCCACGGGAGGGGAGGGCAACCCACCTGAGAGATCCCCAGGATGAAGACCCTGAAAGCAGCAAGAGCCTAAAACTGTAGGGGAGAGTGGAGCAGATTATATTCCATCCAGTGGGCAGAAAAAAGGTATGGGGGCTGAAGAGGGAGATGATGGTGTCACTTTCTGATTCTCCATCTTTCATGGGAGCATCTTCAAACACATTACTCTTTAATCCTCCCAGAGGAGGATATGGATTTGCAGCGTTCCCTGGGGGGCAAGAAAGAAACCCCGGGATCAGGCTCCTGGGCCAGTCTTCTCTCTGCCTCTCCATACCCTTTGCTGCGGAACCACAGGGCCTACGGCGAGGCAGCAGTGGACAGGCTGCTGAACTAAGCCTTCGTAATAGGAATCAAGAGGCTTCCCAATCATTGGACTCTTTCTTTCCCCTGATCCATTTTATTCCTAAAAATATATGCCAAAAAAAAAAAATTTTTTTTTAAGATTTTATTTGAGAGGGAGAGAGCGAGCATGCACACGAGTGGGGGAGATGCAGAGGGACAGGGAGCAGCAGACTCCCTGCTGAGCAGGGGGCACCAAGGCTGGACTCGATTCCAGGACCCTGGCATCATGACCAGAGCTAAAGGCAGACGCTTAACCGACTTAGCCACCCAGGTGCCCCGAAAAATAATTATTTCAAAAGACGATAAACGAGCTTTATGCACAAATGTTAGACAGTAACATTATTCATAATGGCAAATAGTTGTTAACAATTAAATGTTCAACTACAGGGGATCTGGCTAAGTGCTAAAGATACAGGCCCCAAATGGAATTCTTAATTAGCAATTAAATGACTTAAAAGGTATCTGTAAAACATGGAAATAATCTTTTACTGTATTATTAAGATTTATAAGGTTATTTTTTAAAAGATTTTATTTATTTGATAGAGATCGCAAGTGGGCAGAGAGGCAGGCAGAGAGAGAGGGGGAAGTAGGCTCCCCACTGAGCAGCGAGCCCAGTGCTTGATCCCAGGACATCATGAGATCTCCTGAGATCATGACCTGAGCCAAAGGCAGAGGCTTAAACCACTGAGCCACCCAGGCGCCCCTAAAGATTTATTTTAGAGAGAGAGTGCACGCAAGTAGGAGGAAGGCAGAGGGACAGGGAGAGAGAATGTCATGCAGACCCCCTGCTAAGCACGGAGACTGACATGGGACTCAGTCGCAGGACCCTGAGATCATAACTTGAGCTGAAATCCAGGATCAGGCGATTAACCGACAGAGCCAGCCAGGAGGCTCTGAACTAAGTAACCTCTACACCGAACATGGGTCTTGAACTCGCGACCCTGAGCTCCATAGTTACATGCCCCTCTTTCACTAAACTATTAATATTAACATGCAGGATACTATGTACCTACCAGTGGTTTCCAACTGGGGCGGGGTGTTAGGTGGAGGGGGAGGTGTGCCCACGTGAATTTTTTTTTTTTTCCATTGTTTTTAAAAGACCGAGTAGAAAATTTCAAATAGTCTAAAGTAAAAACAAAGTCTCCCCCTGCAGCTGCCCCGGGGTGGGGGTGGGGGGAAGAACAGGCGGGGCCACTCCACACCACAGCTGCCCTGACAGGAAAGACGGCCCTGGAGTACTGAACTGTGAACACCGAGAGGCGGTAACAGGATATTTCTGGGTAACAGGATATTGGCCAGGACTTCTTACCTGTCCCTTCTACTTTTCTGTAGTTAGTTGTTAGTGTAAAATAATCTAAAGCAAGAAAGCAGCCTCCGTCCTCTGTCGTGAGGGGAGGGGCCCACTGCCTGCTTCCCAGCCCATGGTGGGTGGGGGGCGCCGCCGGGCCCCCCCTCCCCGCTGCGAGCGTTCTGGGAGCTCTCCAAGGTCGGTGGCTCCCAGGCTTTGCGTGTGCAGTAGTCAGCTGGGCAAAAAGAAAATAAGCAAACTCCACACAAAAGGGAGGAATGCTTCAGTCAACATTGAAAAAGGGCCCTGGATGGAAACTCGTGATAACAGTTCTCACCTCATTTGAAAATCAGCATTAGCTACCAAAATGTAAAGTATTAGTTTTATTAAAATGCAAATCAATCAACTAATCTGTCTTTCTAGTAACAGTTGAATTGCAGTATCCGTGTCAATTAAAATAGTTTCCAATTTATTCTTGGCTGGAAGGAGGGTGGTCTTCTGAATTTTAAAATGCAAGCCTCTCTTTACTGAAAATTCTGTCCTTTCTCATCTCTCCTGATTTTAATTCATTTTAATTAAACACGTTGGACTCCAAATATCTTGAAGTGCTTGTTTAAATCTTTTTCTTTATCAGGTCAAGAGTAACTGTGGCAAAGATTCGATCTCTTCAGGAAACAGAGGTTAGTGGCAGGCTCACCGGAAGTCCCGTATCAGGAGGTTACTTACTGCTGCTCTAATGTGCACGATTCGGGCTCCTCAGGCTAGGTGGACAGGATTGGATGTTCTCCATTTTAAAAAGTGATCATTTTGAAGGGAGTAAATGTGGGGGAACTCGATTCCTGTTGATTGATCTTTTGGGTAGCTGGAGATACACTGAAAATTAAACATTTCCCTGACAGTCAAGCCCAAGAGGTAAGTACTGAGACCAGAGAAACAAATCATCACATACCAAGGTCCAATTAATGTGAGATGGAAAAACCTCCCCCCCATCCCGCCCATCCTGAGCTCAGCAGATGCTCTGACGCTCACACTACAGGGTGAGGCCGGTCACACGCGGGACTTGCTGCATCTGGAGCCCAGCCTCTAGGCCCGGCACGTGGCCCCCAGACACTGAGGCAGTACGACACGTGGGACTCCCGGGTACCCAAATCTGTCACTTGGTTCTGACATTTCAGAACAGTGTCAGAACCTGACGTTAACAATAGTGACTAGTTCTGCACCACAACTGAATGCGCGTTTCTTCTCGAATTCCACAGCTCCATGTAAAGATGTGGGCAAAGGAGCCAGGGGCGGTCAGCAGCGAGCGCTGGACACACACATTGCTTATGCGAGATAATCTTCATTGCATACTGACCACAGCAGGCCAATAAATCCCCCTTATGGGGATTTAATTTCCAGCTTTTGACCTTTGCATGAAAAACAAGTGAATCATTTCCTCCTGCTGGATTTACACCAGAGCTCATCTCAATAAAGTGATTTAGGAATGGTGAGACTGGAAAAGGACTGTGGAAGAAATCTACAGGGGGAAGAGGAGGAAATGAGAAAGAAGTCAGGGAGCTGTATTTGTGACACACAGGCGAATGCCTCCAAGTAACAGAGTCTCCTGGGCACAGTTCATAGGTTTCTGGGGATTCCCTGCTCCTCAGAGCCATGAGCCATCGCCAAACATGACCCGCCCAGTAAGCGGCATCCTGGCTTCCACGAACTTTGTATCATGAGAGGAGGCTGTGTGACTGGAAAGAAAGTGAAAACCGTCCCCCACAAACCTGTCCCTCTACCAGATCTCTCAAGCCGACTGACTCCGTGCTGTCTAAGACATCATGCGCGTGGCCATGGCCGTAACAACACGGTTTATTTGTGATGGTGAACGAGCGTGGGGCGTGGGTCCCCAGCAAACTGAAGCATGGGGGACATGGACACTTGACTCCAGGCTTCCTGGGTCTTATTAGGCACGTGCTCTAAATCCCCCACCTGCCCAGGACTCCCCAGCTAGCCCAAAGTCATGGGCTGACGGCTTCCCGTGTTTGGGGCTGGCGAGCCGGTGCACGGTGTGTCCACCTGTCCGTGTGTCCGGGTTCCCGCCTCGGGCCTGTAGCAAGAGTGGCGGGTGCGGTCAGTCCCTTTGGCTTTCGTCAAGAGGGTGGAGCTGCCCAAAAAGAGATCGATACAACTCAGTCCTAGAAGACAAACAAAACAAATTGGTAAATACACTGGTTCCCTTTTCAAGGTTCAACAAGAACTGAGAAGCCAGGAAATGTCCCCTTGGTTTCTTCAATGGCCAACACAGCCTGGTAATTAAAAATGCATCCCACAGCCCTTACTCACAAATACAAAGGAAGGTAAAACCCAGAAGCAGCCAATCAAATAGTAAAATATGTAAACAGTCCGGTGTGGCTGGATACCTGTCTCCAGGGAATGAGTTTTCTATAAGTTTGCCCTTTACAGACAGGCTCTTCAAGTAAGAAAACAAGATTGAATATTTTAATAGGATGTATGAGACTGCCGCACGACGAGGAGGATTCAATCAGACATGGGATGTAGGGAGATATGATTTAGTTTTCATACATTTTCTTGGACTTGGCAGTACTTGAAAAACAATGAAAATGACCTGGCAACAAGATTCCAATTACTATCACATGTGCAGCTGTTTGGTGGTGGAACCAAGGTTCTCCCCCACTCCCCTGGCCCCTTTTATCTATTTTCAATCTAATAAGTAATTCGATTGGCTAATTTATTTCTAGAGCTGGACTTCGAAATTCAGAAAATGATAGTATGCCAGGGTCTTGGGTCTTTGAAAATAAAGTCTCCTTTTCAACCTCTTTTTCTGCTGTCAAGTGTAACACACACACACACACAACAACCCACCCAGCCCACATTCTCTGTCAAGGCCTGGAAATCTCAAAAGAGGTGGGCTGGGGTCTCTCCTGCCCTTGTCACGGGAGCACCCAAACACGGTCCCGCGCGCAGAGAGCGCAGATTCCCCTGCGGAGATGTGAGGAGGGTGGCGAGCCACGGAGGAAACAGGGCCAGCCGAGGCAGGGGACCCACAGCTGCCCCTGCAGGAAGGTCGTGCCACTAACCCCCACAGAGGGAGGCCAGGCACACATAGCTATGGTCACAGGCCAGCCAGGGAATGACTCCACGAGAAAGCTGTGCCTGCTCTGTTTTCTACTTTCAAGAGCTCACCCTAAAAGACAGCCTGCCATGCTGGCTGAGAGAATAGGCTTATGAAAGTGCCCTCATTACCCGAGAGCCATCTTCAGCAAACCTGACTTTCCAAACAGAACAAAACACCAAACCACCACCCTTCAAACAGCTATTTCGGGCTAACAAGGCTGCAACACAAAAACTTCTCAGTCTGTGTATGAAGTCATCTTGCGAGGGTGGTAGGTGGAAACAGAGGTACCATCGTGAGGAAGTCCAGCAATAAAAGAAGCACATTAAGACTTCTAGAAAAGGAAAAATTCTAAAGAAGAAACCGCAGTCGCCCAGAATGAAGCCTGACCCTTTCGTGTTGGGGACCACAAGTCAGGCAAAGAAGTGCAGGTGTGCAAACAGCAGGTCTCCAGGATGATCACAGAGATTTTACCCAAGAATTCGCCAGCAGCTGCCCCTGAGCTGTGGACCAGATCTGCGGCCCAGAGACAAGGGCCACAGCCTCACCTGGAGCTCGGCTCTTTTGTTCCTCCGGCCATGCACACCTGCCAGCCTGCACTGGCCAGCCCACAAGTACGAGCTGGGTGAAAGGCGCTTTGGACCAGAGGCCAACAAGAGGCAGGCGGCCTCCCTTCCAGAGGCTGAGGCTTCCAAATCACCAGCTCCATCACCCGGAGGACAGCTGGGCCCAGCGCGAGCTTCCTGGGATCTCATGGTGGCCTATTTGCCCATAAGCACAAGTCTCTCTGGTCATTTCCACACACAAAATGAAACGGCACGGAGGGGAGAGAGGCCAGGACAAAAAGGACGGTCTGGCTTTAGGGCTGTGCAGACTGGTGAGGGCCCCGCTCGCCAGACCGGCTCCCGTCATTACCGCCACCAAGGGCCTCTGCTCAGCGCCCGGCCCCGCGCCAGTTACCGGCCGCAGCGGGGTTCACGTGTCAGGAGCGCCGAGTGAAATGCTGAAACCCGTGTTTTGATAGAACATCATTTCACACTCAGGTGGACAAAGCCGACAAACATATGCAGCTGTTCGTGGCAAAGCAACTTGGAAGGCTGAGGGGACTAGGATCTTTTAAAACAGTTTGAGACACACACACACACACACACACACACACACACACACACACACACACGAAGAGGAAGGGATGATTCCAATCTAAGACCTCCAATGTCACTGCAGCTCTGGGCCTTCCTCAGTGACCGGCTCTACCCCCACAGCATCTTAAACTCCCCTGCTCCCACCCAGCGCCCCCGATTCCAGTGTCACCATCGCTGGCCAAGAGTAAGGTGACAGCCTCCAACTGATGTTCCTGTTCCCCCTTCGCCCCGCTGTTTCTTAGCCCCAACGGGACACCACACCCCCCCAAAAACACCTCCAGGATGAAGCCGCCCAGCGCCAACTGGTCTGCTCTGTGCGGCTCCAGCACGTGGTTCCCTACAGAGGCTCTTTGCGCTGGCCTGTGGGGCGGGCAGGGGGACAACGCGGCCGCAGCCCAGGCCCCGAATCTGTCTGCCCACCTCCTGCAAGAGTTCTACACCACCACGCAGCCCCCTCACACACACGGTTTTTCTCAATAAATATACTAGTCACAAAGGACATAATTATCAGAGTCTTGTGAGTACTAACTTCTGGAATGAAACTCTCTCATTTCTTCTGTAAAGCACCCGGTGGGATGTTCGCGCCATCCTGCCTTGAAACCGATCATCGTTCACTTAAATAATATATAAACATACTCTTCCACTTGGCAATTTTACAGCTTTCTTTCCTTTCTTAAACTTGTATTTCCATTTGATTTTTTCCCTACAGATTTTTGTCCTAATTGTTTTATGCTTGAAAGTCTTTTATTGATCACCCTATTATACTTCTTGGCCACAAAAAATAAGTATGCAAATTGAAACACTTTTTATGAATTTCAGAAGTTGAAAATATTTTCATTTCTTGACACCGTAAGGCTTTAAGTAATTAAAAAAGTACTTCTGGATTGTGTCATTATTACACAATTATTATCGGGATACAACAGACATATACAACAACAGTTAAATAAAATGTATTATAATTTTGGTGAAAATTTATTACAGTAACTGTGTAAAACATTGCTGGAGCTGCACGTCTTCATAATATGGACGGGGCCAGTCACGCACTCATGGTGAACAGTATTTATCGCCAGAATGAAAGGACGCTCAGCATCCAGGCTTTTTCTGTCAGTTTTTGCAGACGCAAGTGCAGAGAAACTTCATCATGTAGACAAGCAGATGGGGACAGGGGAGTTTTGTGACAGCAACGTCCCTGTTCTTTTGATTCCTTCTGAATTACCTGCCCCCCAACATCACATAGTGATCTACCACCAAAAACTGTTTTAATGATGTGCCAGCTGACAGCTCAATTAGGTTGTTTTGCAGCTTTGTCGGAAATAAAGCCCTGGAACCCTCAGAGCCACAGGGCCTTGTCACCTGGTGCCGGCGCCCTCCGTTCTCAATTCCCGCCCGGCTCAGTGCTGTGAGGCACGCCCCCGCTCGGTGCCTGGGGTGGGAACCCTTCCAGTCAGAGAGAGGAGGGGCACGGCGGGCTGCTCAGTGGGTGGGGGGCACTGTGAGAGGTGAGACTGGAGACCCCGGACTAGGTGCATTCTCCAGCCGCCCCACTCTTACCCTGAGTGGGGTAAGAGCACACAACTGGAAACTGATTCCCAAAAAATGTGTCTGTCCCTTCCCCTTGGGGAGTCTCTGCACACCCCAGCGTGAAGACTTAGGGCCCGAAGCACAGCGTCCCCTCCCCCCACACGCGCACACGCACGTGACATGGTGCCAGTGCTGAGGGAAAGGGAAAGGCATTTTCACAGAAAAGGAACCTGTCCATATCCCTTTCCCCATCCAGAGGAAAACAAAACTAAAAACAAAACTGGGTGATAAAAAGGCACCATGGGACAGAGGGCTGGACTGCCTTCTGCCACTCGGAACATCTCCCCCCGCAGCATCCTTCCTAATCGGGATTTAGCCATGCAGAGAAGCTCAACTATCAATCCTTCAGGTTAACCTTGTCTCCATCTGATTCTCTAGGGTAAGTGTATAGTTTAATACTTGAGGTCCCCTTAAGGCTATGCATAATGAACTTAGTTTAAAAAAAAAAAAAAGCATAATTCCTGCTCCCTATCACTTCAAGAATCAAGATTTGAATCACTGAGCTGAAACACCGTCCCCCCCCCGGTTACCCTTCCCCCACACTCCTGGCCTCACTGGCCAGTGGGAATGTCCACTGTGGAAAATGTATTAATGTCCGTATCACGCAGGAGAATAACCTACGGAGTAATTAACAAGACTTGGACCTAAGGTAGAAGGTCGATAGCAGGGGCCCTTCCTTGAATTAAAATTTAACTTACCCTTTATTGCAACCTACAAAAGCAAGTAATGAGCACTAACATTTTTATTTCTTTTAAACTGTCATTTAGGCTGTAGAGGGGATAATTACCTATCTCTAGTGTAGTAAGGTTTTATAACCCTTAGTGAGGCATTTTCTAATTTAATATTTTTACTATATTATCATAAAACCTGTTTCTGGAAAAAAAATGATCATGGATTAGCAGCCATTTTCCATAAAGACAGATGTGTGTGTGTGTGTGTGTGTGTGTTTTAGAATTCGGCTTATTTATGACCCGATTCTTCTGAAGAGACTCAAAGTATGGCAGCAGAGGGGGCCACAGAGTGCAGTCACTGGGGCGGAGGGCAAGGTTGGAGCAGCCTGGTGAGGTGGGGACAGGCAGCACCCACGGGGAGACTGCAGCCCCACGTGTGTCCCCCCCCCCCAGACGCTCCTTTCAGTTCTCCCTATGTTCCTCCCACTGACTGTGACAGAAACCAGAGTCGTCCATGCTGCCGTTGGGGCAGTCGGCGCAAAGCGGCTCATCACACCTGCACAGGATCGGTGCGGCCTTTCAACGCGCCAGGTCAGGGGCCTGCAGCACCCGGGTCCAGGAGGCGCACTACGTTGTCCTCAGACCCCAAAGCTGCGGAGCCAGCCCCG